TCACACTCACATTACTACTGAGGCGGGTAGGTTACTCTCACTCCTACTGAGGCGGGTAGATCACTCTCACATTACTACTGAGGCGGGTAGGTCACTCTCACCTTACTACTGAGGCGGGTAGGTCACTCTCACTTTACTACTGAGGCGGGTGGGTCACTCTCACTAACTACTGAGGCAGGTAGTTCACACTCACATTACTTCTGAGGCGGGTAGGTTACTCTCACTTTACTACTGAGGCGGGTAGGTCACTTTCACATTACTACTGAGGCGGGTAGGTCACTCTCACATTACTACTGAGGTGGGTTGGTCACTCTCACTTTACTACTCACAATCTGAACAACCTTCCTTGGCTGACTCCTCAGGGCTCAAGCTGGAAGAGAACATGCCTCGGACCTTCGGGGAACACTGGTGACTTGACCTTGGTGTTGAACCAATTTGGCAAGCAGACACTCACGATGAATTGGACAATAAGTCTCAGGTTGTGACTGGTTCCGCTGGGGTTGCCGATGAAAGACCCCAATTCTCTCTGGAGGAACCTGAGAGCCGTTGGCGTGAGCCACCTAGAATGTGAGACTGGTTCTATCTGCGGAGTAAAGCAAATCCTATCAGGCGCGGCCCCAGTTTTGATGGCACCTGGAAATCATGTAACCATAGTACTGGTCAGTACTCAGGTCGTCAATGACAGTATGTGCAAAACCAACGAGTGGAGGGAGCCAACTGTGATTTGCCAAAGCTTCGGTTATTTCTAACTCAGTGGCAGAGTCCAGCATCTTGCCAAGAGGACCAGATACATCTGTTGTTTGAAAGGTCTTGCCATCCAGCTCTGGATCAGATGTCTGATGGCAACTCGTTGGTGTGGAGGTCACAAACAATCAGACCAACTTCCTCCCAATCTTCCATCTATCCACTGTATGACCCCCCCTTGCCACCCACGTGTTCGTGTTGGCGGTGCTGTCCCCTCAATGGCCTGCGGGGTCTGGTCTGCATTCCTCTCTCTGAGCCAGTTCACAATGTTATATACTATCTCAGCTGGATCCTGATGTCATCTTTCTCTGGAGTAGAAATGCCACAAATACTTCCCTCCTGGTTCCTGCATGGGAGTAGTGTTCCTCATACCATGGCAGGGAACAACTTGTCCAGAATCTCCAACTTTCGCAGACACTTTAATTGTCATCCCTTTTCCATCAAAAGAACAAACAATTGATTCCATTTCATATCCTTATCAAACTCCTCTTCTAGGTTTGACAAGTTTCTCCTGAGCTCTCCTTACTTTGTTATGATCTATCACCAGGTGAACATCATCAGGTGTTATCAAACCACCGTCAATCAGGCAGCTGTTGCTATCTCCTGCAGTTTCTCTGAGACCAGTGTGTGGTGTCGCATGCTGGCCAGAGCTATGCTCAGGATATCTTTCCTATTTCGAATCTTATGCCTGGAAGGTTTGGGATCATTATTTTCTGGGTTCCGGGACAAAGTCACCATTCTCCTGGTCAGCACTCGGATCAGCCATGGGAAGTCATTAAACTCTGAATCAGCTTGACTCAATCATCGGCCTTTTTTACCTCACCCTGGGCGTACTCAAGTCTCTTTTTTCCTCGGCAACTCTTCTCCTCTTCTGTCTCTCTCTCTGGCAGCCTCCTGTCTCTTGGACTCCAAATTATCTTGGCTAGAAATCGCAGGAGCCCCTATACTGCCAGTCTTCTCTCTCTGTGTGCTTTGACAAATGCCAGTTCGATCCCACAGGAATCTTCAGTTCACGCGCTTGCAAATACCACAGGAGATGTGGGCCTCGGATTTAGTCACGATCGCATCAAACTCAGGACAGAGGGTAATTGGGCACTTGCAAGTAATTATGTCAAATAACTGGTCAGTTGTAGCAAGCTGTGCTAACTACCAAGTTTTCCTCTTAAGAGAGATATCTCTTGCCTTTTCCCAACTGGCTAGCAGTCTCTCACTAATCTTCTTCTGACTTTGTTATGACTGGAGGCTTGAACTGAGCATTGCCAGAGTGTACTGTGCCAAAGACAGCTTTGGTCATATCACTGGCAATGTCTTTGTTTGTGTAAGTTCTTTGGTTCTTTCACTGGTTGCCTGATTAAAACACCGTATCTCAAAGCATCTCTCGATGTAGGCAACTCCGACTTCAGGAGCTCTCCCAGACCCAAGATAATAGTGACTGAGATGGCTGGATTTTGGTTCCTCGTCCTGACACAAGCAGCCATCGCAAATATTATCAACTTATAAATGCATCAGAGATCTGAAACAGAAAAAATGTTGTTAGTTGGGTTGTTAAAGAATGAAGTCGAAAGCAATGTTCACTATTTAATTATGGCCATAATACAGCTGTACGTTCAGATTTTCGATAAATTTCACGCTAAAATTTACCTAGCAGGGTTGCAAAATATTGAAACTGAAATTATTTTCTGTTTATATACACTAAAATCTACCAGAAAAGTGATGGGCCATTAGTTTTAGCTGATCTTCCCTCCTATGACACACCCTATTCTCACATTATTACTGAGGCTGGTAGGTCACTTTCACATTACTGCTGAAGCGGGTAGGTCACTCTCACATTACTAGTGAGGCGGGCAGGTCACTTTCACATTATTAGTGAGGTGGCTAGGTCACTCTCACATTATTGCTGAGGCGGGTAGGTCACTCTCATATTATTACTGAGGCGGGTAGATCTCTCTCACATTATTACTGGGCAGGTAGGTCACTCTCACATTTCTACTAAGGCAGATGGAGTCACTCACATTACTACTGAGGCGGTTAGGTCACTCTCACCTTACTACTGGGCAGGTAGGTCACTCTCACTTTACTACTGAGGCGGGTAGGTCACTCTCACATTACTACTGAGGCGGGTAGGTCCTCCACATTACTACTGAGGCGGGTAGGGCACTTTCACTACTACTGAGGCAGGTAGGTCTCTCACTTTACTACTGAGGCGGGTAGGTCACTCTCCACATTACTACTGAGGCGGGTAGGTCACTCTCACTTTACTACTGAGGCGGGTTGGTCCCTCTCACCTTACTACTGAGGCGGGTAGGTCACTCCTTTACTACTAAGGCGGGTGGGTCACTCTCACATTACTACTAAGGCAGGTAGGACACTCTCACACATTATCACTGAGGCGGGTAGGTCCTCTCAACTTACTGAGGCGGGTAGTTAATTCTCTCTTTAATACTGAAGCGGGTAGGTCACTCTCACATTACTACTAAGATGGGTAGTTCACACTCACATTACTACTGAGGTGGGTGGGTTACTCTCACTTTACTACTGAGGCAGGTAGGTCACTCTCACTTTCACTTCTGAGGTGGGCAGGTCACTTTCACATTATTAGTGAGGTGGCTAGGTCACTTTCACATTATTTCTGAGGCAGGTAGGTGACTCTCACATTATTACTGAGGCGGGTGGGTGACTGTCACATTATTACTGAGGCGGGTAGGTCACTCTCACATTAGTACTGAGGGGGGTAGGTCACTTTCACATTACTGAGGCCTGGAAGGTCACTCTCACATTATTACTGAGGCGGGAAGGTCACTTTCACATTACTACTGAGGCGGTTAGGTCACTCTCACCTTACTACTGAGGCGGGTAGGTCACTCTCACTTTACTACCGGAGGTGGGTGGGTCACTCTCCCATTACTACTGAGGCGGGTAGGTCACTCTCCACATTACTACTGAGGCGGGTGGGTCACTCTCACATTACTACTAGACAGGTAGTTCACACTCACTATACTACTGAGGCGGGTGGGTTACTCTCACTTTCCTACTGAGGCGGGTAGGTCACTCACACATTGCTACTGAGGCGGGTAGGTCATCCCACTTTTACTACTGAGGCGGGTAGGTCACTTTCACTTTACTACTGAGGCAGGTATGTCACTCTCACTTCACTACTGAGGCGGGTGGGTCACTCCTTACACATTACTAAGACAGATAGGTCACACTCACACATTACCGAGGCGGTAGGCTCTTACTTTACTACTGAGGCGGTAGGTCACCTCACTTTACTACTGAGGTGGGCAGGTCACCTCACAATATTACTACTGGGAGGCAGGTCACTCTTACATTATTGCTAAGGCAGGTAGCTATTACCTCACATTGCTACTTAGTTTTCTAGGTCACTCTCCATTATTACTGATGCGGCTGGTAGGTCACCTCACATTACTACTGGAGGCGGGTAGGTCACTCTCACTTACTACTGAGGCGGAAATTTCACATTACTGAGGCGGATAGGTCACCTCACATTACAGGAGATGGGGTAGGTCACTCACATTACTACTGAGGCGGTAAGTCACTCACATCATTAGTGAGACTTCAGCCTCACACACACACTGAGGCGGGTAGGTCACTCTCACATTACTACTGAGGCGGGTAGGTCACTCTACTCTCACACTACTGAGGCGGGTAGGTCACTCTCACTTTACTACTGAGGCGGTAGGTCATTCTCATTACATTGATGGTGAGTGGCAGGTCACTCACACATTACTACTGAGGCGAATTGGTCACTCTCACATTACTACTGAGGTGGGTAGGTCACTCTCACATTACTACTGAGGTGGGTAGGTCACTCTCACATTACTACTGAGTCGGGTAGGTCACTCTCACATTACTACTGAGGCGAATTGGTCACTCTCACATTACTACTGAGGTGGGTAGGTCACTCTCACATTACTACTGAGGTGGGTAGGTCACTCTCACATTACTACTGAGGCGGGTAGGTCACTCTCACATTGCTACTGAGGCGGGTAGGTCACTCTCACATTACTACTGAGGCGGGTAGGTCTCTCTCACATTACTGCTGAGCGGGTGGTCACCTCACATTACTACTGTAGCAGGAGGTCACTCTCACCCACAGCAATACATAGGCAGGTAGGTCACTCTCACATTACTACTGAGGCGGGTAGGTCACTCCTACAGTACTACTGAGGCTGGTAGCTCACTCTTACATTACTACTGAGGAGGGTAGGTCACTTTCATCTTGTTCACGTCAACAGCTGCTGCATGTGTCATGGTGCGTGACAGTGGTGGTGGTGAGCGACGACCCAGCCTTCCTCGCCGCCTTCGCCGAGTGGTCCCTCAAGGGCCGCCTCCTGGTGTGGTCGACGAGGCTCCTCGCAGTCACTCGCCTGACTCTCCCGGAACTTCGTCTCTTGAAAAATTCTTTGTCCATGATGAACGCCATGATGGTGATTGTAGACGACAAAACAAATTCCAAGAGGTTAGACTTTATAAGATTGTTCTCTTCAGGATGTATGTATATTTATAGGACGATACACGTAGAACTTGTTGAAGGGTCACTAATTGTACTCTTGTCCTCTTCAGATGTACCTTGTATATACATCTGCCGTATATCTCTCGAGGTACCCAGACAATGAAGGTTGCCTCCTGGACTCCACATCAAGGCCTCACTCTCACCACCCAACTCCCTTTCTTCCCTGAGAAGTTCTTCATGTATGTATCCTGGTTAGGACTAACAAGATACGTATTAATTTAGACTGGAGCATTGTGTCTCTTTCTCCACAGCATTTATATTTAATCACACAGTATCAGGATGACATATGTTTGTATTTCCTTAGATTTTCTTTTCTAATCATATATTTGAAACAAAGGGAAGGATAATCACTAGATTAATAAAAAAGAACATATGGACTTTGCAAAGAGTTGTAACTCTATTTGCTTAAACAACTTCGTAGTGTTATGGACGTGAGAGGTGTAGTGTCTGCGTGTCAAAAGCAATTTCTATTTTACCGCCGGAATTATGGGATACACAAATGTACATTCGACAAGTTGACGTCTCCTAACTTTAGCTAGTTAAGTGTCTAAACAATGAGTTCCTGGACGTACAGACCAAGGGGTAGGATCTTTAGTTTGCTTTGTGAGTTAGGAGAGTTGGATATGAAGTCTACGCGTGCCACAACACCTGTTTCACTTTGTCATTGAACCGTACGAGTTTACGCACAAGCAGACTTTTATTGAAGGCGATAAGGCTTGATTTTGTTTTTATCTGTAAGTGATTAATAGCTCAGCCTGATGCCATTGAAGAAAATTTTCTAAAAATTTAATGAGTCACGTACCCTTCATTGACTCACTGAGTCATAACCTCATGCAAGTGGCTCTGAATGGCGACTTTGTTCTTAAGTCTCGTTAGCGTTTGTGGAAACATATATATTTTTATCGTTTACTTCCCTTCAATTTGAAATTTGTTTTTCCCTGTGGATAATTTTGAAAACTGATATTTTATTTAATTTAAGACAAGGAAAAAACTCTGTGTTTCAACAGATTCATCCAGCGACCGACGTTGGTGGTGACAATGCAGGAGTCGATACTCAACAGAGCTATGATGAAGGCGGACCCTGAGGCCCCCGGAGGCCAGCGACTCTGGTTCACAGGACACATGCCTAACCTCCTGCAAACGATCGCTGAGAGCATCAACTTCTCGTGAATCATTTTGTTATTTATATATATAAGTTTTCAGCAGTTTCATATAAATAATTATGTTGTACCTCTGTGAATAGATAAAACCCTCACACATTATATATATATATATATATATATATATATATATATATATATATATATATATATATATATATATATATATATATATATATATATATATATATATATATATATATATATATATATATATATATATATATATATATATATATATATATATATATATATATATATATATATATATATATATATATATATATATATATATATATATATATATATATATATATATATATTTTTGTAATTAGACATCGTCCCGAGTTCTATTCTTGCACTTATTGGTGCCGTGGTACCGACCCCTGTTCACAAAAAAGCTCCCGGGTTCATTTCCTAACTAGTGAGATATTGTTTGTATACTGAAGTCCGTGTATATATGAACTGTTCATATATATATATATATATATATATATATATATATATATATATATATATATATATATATATATATATATATATATATATATATATATATATATATATATATATATATATATATATATCTTGTTTCTTAATAATTAATTGTTTTAGTTTTTTAGTAGATATTTTATTTATAAAGACAAATTCATAATCAGTTCCTTTTTGTTTTAAATAGATGGAATTTTTTAACAGTTTTAACGTTCAACATATTTATTTAGGATTCTTAATATGAGCAAATAATGAGATTTTATTATGGTCACTGAATTGTTCACCAGGTACACGTACTTGCGTCCCCCAGATGGTACATGGGGAACTAGATTACCAAACGGGTCCTGGTCAGGTATGGTGGGCGTGGTGACCCGGAAGGTAAGTGTGATGATTGTACTTGTCTTTGGTAAAATGACCCTTCCTGTTGTATTTAAGAGGACACACACACACACACACACACACACACACATACACACAAAACTTCCTTGACCACCCGTAGGGTCAAGACCTACACAGGCCCATTCCTTAAGTCCCTCTCCCCGACCCATCCTCACACCGGGATATCAACATAATCAAAAGTGACAATTTCGTTTCGGAAAGAAGTGGGATCAGTGTTAAACAGTGATGAACAGTGTTTAAGCAAAGCCAATGAATTCAGCATTAGACAGAACCAGTGAGAGCCATGACCCACCAGTTAGATAAGCACCACTGGGAACCATCCTCTGGCCAGACGATGTTAATCCGTCCACCCTGGGGACAACAGCGGGCCGGCTATGCACCTGACTACGAGATAACACAACACTACCTAGCAGAGTGAGGTACTGTGACACCACCCACACCACCCGGTGTCCCCATGACCACGTGAGGTCCTTCATATCAACACCCGAGGACGAGTCACTGCACCAAATGTACACCACAGCACCCGGTGTCCCCATGACCACATGAAGTCTTTCATATCAACATCTAAAGGACGAGTTACTACACCACGTGAACACCACACCACCTGGTGTCTCAATGACCAGCCCAGGCCCAGGCCATCAACTGTAAACTATAATAATTTGTATGTTAAATTTGTGTTCCTTCTTCTTTCAATAATGAAAGCTTTTGTTAAACGACCCACCTATCCCATGTCTTTGCATGTAATAAGTAATTTTTGGCTACTGCATATTTTCAGCCTTTGGGCTGCTGAACTTTTTCAATAAACCGTTAATTATTTTATTTTGTACACATGCACACTCACACACACACACACACACACACACACACACATGCCCACTATATATATATATATATATATATATATATATATATATATATATATATATATATATATATATATATATATATATATATATATATATATATTTCATGTAATGCACAATGAAAGCATGGATAAGATAAATCTTGAAATAAATCACGGGAAAGAAACAACGGAGCACCTTAGCTTTCGTCTTCAGACAGCTAAGGTCTTCCATTATTCATCAAAAAAAAAAAAAAAAAAAAAAATATATATATATATATATATATATATATATATATATATATATATATATATATATATATATATATATATATATATATATATATATATATATATATATATATAATTTTAGGGTGGTCCAAAATATTGAGCCTTAGAAATATATTGCTCCACAAGCCTGCCCTTATTCCATTTGGATAACTCATTCAACATGTGAAATTTTGACTCAAGCAAACAATATTTAGGGGTCGCTTAAATTGTTGCTTTTAATTGTGTCTGCCGCCTTTTATGTGTTATCCGGAGAAAACAGAAAGAAAACAAGCTAAATTATGTAAGCCATTTAATCCCAAACTGAAAACTTCATAACAAAATTGTATACAACAAACGAAAAAAAATCTTACATTGCTCCATATGAAGAACTGATTACACAAGTAAAATATTGGCCCAATTATTATTTTCGGGTCACTTATTTATTTAGTAGAGTTTGCGCCCTCTATCTACATATAAAAGGCTAGAGTCCGTGCGTCCGTCCGTCATGTTGTTGGTAGAAAGTTAGAATGTACCGCCGTGCAAGTATGTTTCGCGTTACAACCTGACCACTTAGTGAATAAAGAGCCCTCCGCAGGAGCTAGAAAGAAGGGCACGTAGCGCACTGAAATTCTAGTTACTTATATTTTCCAAAATGAATAGTAATAAACAAGACAAATGGTGTATTACTTATAATCCACAACTGGAAACATTATAACTGAAAGCTACTGTAATACTATAGAAAACAAAATTATGTATTGCGTGCAAAATCAGACCTGAACACAATAATTAATCTCTTTTTGTCAGGCAGGCTTACACGGTCAAGAGCTGCTGCAACCTCAGGTGTGGCTATACTGTAATGTTCTCCATTTTCTTAGGATGTGGAGCTGATGTTGATGAAGTAAAAGCAGTTTGAGATGGCCTGTAATCCTGGTCTTCATCCTGTAAGTCATCTGTGGATGTGCTGCTGCTTTTATCTGTAGGTACTGCTGTGCACACCAATAAGCTCTCTTTGCTTTTCTGGGTCCGCTCCATCTCCCTCTCTTGGCGCTGCCTCTTCCGTAATTCTCGAATTGCTGTTTCTGTATCCACACCACCCATGCTGCATGAAAGGACATCTTCTCCCTGCATCTGAAGGAAAACTTTGTTCTTCTCTTCCTTCATCTCTTTAAAAGCATTTTGGGAAGAAATATAGCACAATTCCTTCAGTGAGTCTTTGAAAAGAGTCTCCTTGATTCTGTCAGTTTCTGGTGCAGAAAGCCTGTCTTTTTTTAGGATGACATATATTTTCAAGGAGCTCCTTTATCTTCCTGATGACTGAGTCCACACGTTGAGTGGGAATTCGAGCTTTAGCTCACATCTCCAAGACAGCATCAGCAGCCAGTCAAAATCTTCGGTTCAGAAGTTCATTTTGTTCCATGTGGTGGAACATAACATGCCGTAGAATGTTACCATTTGTTGGGAGCCTGACGTGAGACAGTTCAGAAGATGACTTCCCAAGAATCCACACGTCAGCACACGACCGTGTTTTTTCATTGAGGCTGTCATCTGAAAGCAACAAAATCAAAGCATGAGTATGATGAAATAAGACTATAGGCATCTAGCACAAAAATAGAGGTACTGACACGCTAGGCAGTGCAATCACATGACAATGGCTCAATGGTGGGGGTTCAGCTTAGGACATAAAAATCAAACATTTTAAGCGACCTCTAAATATTATCTAATTTAGTCCAAATTTGGCATTTATGTTTTCTGTGTCTAATGGAATGGGGGCAGCCATATGGAGCATGGTTTCTGTAACTTTAAATTCTCACCCTATAGACATGGACCACCCCAACATTATTTATACATACATACATACATACATATATATATATATATATATATATATATATATATATATATATATATATATATATATATATATATATATATATATATATATATATATATATATATATATATATATATATATATATATATATCAGTCCATATAGCACACGGACTTCCACATACAAACTATACTTCACTAGTCGGGAATCGAACCCTAGACCTCTGCGTGTGAACAGGGATCGCTACCACCGCCCCACAAAGACAACAAAAGCATTGTTTGTATTTGGAAGTCCACGTGCTATATTGATTGGTGATATATAGCCTCGTGTTTCCTAGCTGGATTCGATAAAATGCTACTCTGACCACATAGTTGGCACGGGCAATCCCCAGTGGAGGTTCACGGCGCTTAACAAGCACAATGAACGGGTTCTGTGTGGAATAAAACAGAGCCTAGGATTGCTTTTGTTGTCATTGTGGCGCGGTGGTCGCGATCCCTGTTCACACACAGAGGTCCAGGGTTCGATTCCCGACTAGTGAAGTATTTTATATATATATATATATATATATATATATATATATATATATATATATATATATATATATATATATATATATATATATATATATATTTCATGTAGATTCACAATGGAAACGTGGACAACATAAATCTTGATAAAACCACACAGGAAAAGGGAAACAATGGAGCACCTTAGATTTCGTCTTTATTTGAGACATCTTCAGAGGAAACTGAATTTACATGAGACCCATGTGGATGTAGGGTAGATGATAAGTGGGTCTCATGTTTAGAGTCTATACTGTAGAATAGTGCTTAAGCAAAAATTCTCTAGACTCCACAACCTCATCGAAGGGAAGTATGTAGTTTCATTCCAAAAATTCGCACTACCCGTGTCTCACCAATGAAGAGGGGGGGTGCGAGGGATCTAGACTGAGTATGAGTGGGGTAGTTATTAGTTTCTTAAGATGTGGTTGTTCAAAATCCATTCTTAAGGCTTACCTGCTTTAGATTAGGTCCCTGGGTCAGTATGTCGATATCACTGACCATTATGGGGTTGCTGATGTATACTCGTTGCTTCTAGGGACATGATGCTACTCCAGAATTGATTGTCTGTCTGTTGCCATATCTCAGAGCTGGTGTTTGCCTTTGTTCTCCTTGTTGCCCCTCACTCACAGACAAAAGCAGATTCGACTTCTAACTACGTCACCGGTATGCCCCAAGAAACGAGTTACATCTTGACGCTCATTCTGAGTTTGCTGCTTTTCATGTCGCCTTAAACATTTTGAGCAACTAAAACCTTTTTCATATATAATGAGCCCATTTTATATCTTTGTCAATTAGAGGTTAGATATATTTTGCCAGTTTTATCTATGCGTTGGCCTATGTTGATTGTGAAAGGTCCAGTTAGCCCATATGATACATATATCTTAATTTCCAACGTTATATGTTTCTTAGTTTCTTTCTTAGAAAATTGGCCCCTACTTGTTTTAGGAGCCCCATACCCTATACATCAAACAATGCATTGGTGGTCATGTTCCCACTAGTTTCAATGTCACTTCATTCTTACATTGTTCATATTAACCCTGTATCCCTAATTATCATTACCGATAAGTGTAAGAACGGACACACCAATCCACAAAACATTTTCATATTTTTCGGCTACTGTAAGTCACACCAATCTTGGTATTTGGTCAGATAGTCTTTGCATCTTGGCCACAAGAACTATTTGGCTTCTACTTTGTCATCATTATCATCTAAATTAGTTATAAAATATTTGATGAAAATTATTATCTTCGTCTTTTGCAACTTAATGAAGTATTTATAGTAGAAATTAATTTACAAAAATATCGATGGCCGCCATGATAGCACTTATTTGGGTGTGTACAAACCCCTGCCGATTTTAATATATATGCTATTGTGTTTTATCTTATATAGTATATTATAGTAGTTCTGATGATGACAAGAGGTATTGTCGCAACCAAATGTTTATACATCACCTCCTGTGACACTTGCAATGTTGCATGATAAATTCCTTGTACACCAGCGAGCAAATAATGATGTCATAATCTGATTTGATTCACAACACTTCGTCAAAATTCACAGGAGGCAGACATCGGTCTCGGCCCATTTATTATGAGTGCCAGTCGGGCTGAGGTGGTGGACTTCACTTGGCCATTTACTGTATCGTCTTCACGGGTAATGGCTCCACGAGGGCGAGCCGAGGTAGACCCGTGGGGTTTCTTGCTGCCTCTTGCTCCACTGGTGTGGACGGCCATCTTGACAGTGTTGCTCGTGTTGTCTGTGGTGATATCACTTATGGCTTCATGTCTACCCCGAAAATTTAGTAATCGAAGCGATTGGGCAGTGGATGCATACAATCTGATACGCGTGTTACTGCAACAAGGTAAATTTAAGTTAAGCTACACAGAAATCTAAGATTTTCATTATAAAAATCCAATTTTAAATTAATTGAAATATTATATTGAATATATAATATGGCCCATTATCTAAAGCCTCCCATTATTTTCGGCTTACGGGTTAAAGATTTTAGTTAATAAGAGAGCACTTTTTTCACATTTTTGTTTGATGTATGCTCTCCGGAATGTTTCGTCAACTACAGGCAGCAACAATAAGTTAATGTAATTTTTTATAAAAAAAATACCAGTACCTATGACATCTCTATGCCAATCTTTTTGTATCCCATATGAAGCTATTAATTCTGATCATCATGAAAATTGTTTAAAAGTTTTATTTTCCTTCTCGACCATTCTCTTTACTCAGACGTCTCTGAGTCCTCCGACTATTGGTGGTGGGAGCGGCTGGTGTTGGCGGTGTGGATGTTGATGATGCTGGTGTTAACACGGAGCTACGCCGGCAACCTCATGTCCCTCCTGGCCGTGAGACACATCTCAGAGCCCTACAAAACGCTCCAAGAGGTGCTGGATGACCCGTCTGTGACCATGATATGGCAAGATAATTCAGCAAGCGTGCAGTATTTTCGTGTAGGTTACATAACTTTCTGGACCTTTGATCTTTCTCTTGGATATATAGAAACTTAGGGAATCAGTGTCATACTTTATTAATAGGAGAAATATCGTTGATCAATTTATCGGTTTTGGTCCTCCAGTGCGGCTTCATACCGTTATCATTTTCAATTTTAAGTTTGTTGTTACCTACAATGTGAAGATTGACTTGTAATGTAATATTAAAAAACAAAAAGTGAATGTTAATCAATCAGTCCTTTTATGGAAACTCAAATTTATCATCTTTATGCGGTATATTATTTACTAGAGGCTGAAAATTAACTCTATCCGCAATCTGTCATGGAGTGGAAACTCAACAGTCTATTTATCACCGCGTAGAAGTTTGCATGTATCATATTGATTTAATGTACGCAATCTGGAAATGGTTTAATTCATCATATATAGGAAAAAAGCTTCTTATCAGAAACTTGAAAATTAGATTTGCATCGTGTGTTTTTTCGTGAAAGCTTATAGTTACCACCATCACCCTCGTCTAGACCACGGAATACGGCATCTTCCGTAAGGTGGGCGAAGCGGAGATTGCAGGGAGGGTCAGGTTCCTCACATTGATGGAGTACGGTCCTGGCGTGGCGCCCTTGGTGAAGCAGGGCGACCACGTTCTTATAGAGGAAGAGTCCATAGTGAAAATTTTGATGGCGCAAGACTTCTCTAGTACAGGTCATTTACTATTTTAACTTTAATATGAATTTTCACATTTGCCGAAAATTTATATTTGTCTTTCCCAGGATCCATAAGTGTGTACTGTTCAGGAATTAGCTATTTTTTTATTTACTTTTTGAGGTTTGGCATTTGTATTTACATATTCTTTTTACTATTAGTTTTTTCTCTCTGTGCATGTTTTCATGGGCTAAGTATATAGAGTGTTGTATTTTGTGAGTAAGGAAGAGAATCATTAACAATATCCTAAGTTAAGATAAGTTGCCTTTACTTTGTTCCTCATTGTTTTTTCCTCTCCCCCTTTCTCGTTGCTTCTCTGACAACATGAATGCCTTCCTATCTGTTTTTATCTAAAAAAAATTTGCTTTTTATTTATCTCTCTCTATTTATCTGTGTATCTCTTGTTTTTATCTTTTACCAATGCACATACTATCTCTCTCTCTCTCTCTTCTACCATATAATTATCCTTTTCTCTTGTTTTCTCTCACTCTCTTGTTCTCTCTCTATCATAACTCATATTTCCCAACTGCCATACCAAATTGAAAAAGATCCACATGAGCCCTCATAGAGAAACCTTTGTCTCTCCACCAGGTCGCTGCGACTTCCACACCTCCAGGGAGCAGTACCTCACTTTACTGATGTGTATGATAACGCAGAAAGACAGCCCCCTCATCAGTGCCATTAAATATAGGTGATAATAGGCTTTTGTAGTATGTGTGTGTGTGTGTGTATGTAATAAAAAATACTTATAATTAAAATAATAATAATATTAATAATGATTTACGGTTTATTGAAAAAATTCAGTGGCCTGAAGGTTGAATATATACAATGGACAGAAATAACCTATTACTGTACATACCTAACCAATCTAATGTTAGGTTAAGTTAGGCACATCTGGCAAGTTAGTAACGCTGTACCCATTCCGGAACACTCAGCATGTAAACTTTGTGATACACTTGAACACTATACTATTGAATGTGACACTGTCAATGACTTCAGGCCACCTGGCATATTGTATCACGAACTTTGTAATTACTACATTGAATCAGGGGAGATTCAGGAGATTCTTGCTGTTTATCCAAAATTTGCTAGCCCACACTGATTAATCTTCAATTGGAATATGAGGGTCCACTGTATATGAACCACTGTCCTGCATGGCAGTGAACAGTGACATCGCCCACATGACTCTGACCTATATATACTGCTAATGAATATGATGTATCTCTTTGTGTACGAACCTCTGTCCTGCATGGTAGTGAACAGCGACATCAACCTACATGAATCTTACCTATTTATACTGTTAATGAGAAAGATCTATTCCTTTGTGTATGAAACTCTGTCCTGCGTGGCAGTGAGAAGTGATACCACCCTCAGTGTCAAGACCTGACTGAATTACTCAGAATAGGCTAACTGTACTCAGAGCTTTGTCAATAAATTTGTTAAACTAAACTAAAGAAAGGACAATAAAAACAATCCCTAATGGAGGTTCACGTTGCTTAACAACGACAAATGAACAAGTTTTATGTGGAATAAAACAGAGCCTAGGATTGCTTTTGTTGTCCTTGTGGCGCGGAGGTAGCAATCATTGTTCACACGCAGAGGTACTGGGTTCGATTCCCGACTAGTGAGGTATTGTTTATATATATATATATATATATATATATATATATATATATATATATATATATGCAAGTAAATCACTGTAGGTGCACGTGATCCAGGTACACTATATGCTGATAACCACAAGGAAAAAGAAAACACGAAGTTCCCAAGCGCTTTCGTGTAATTCACATCTTCAGGGGTGAGTACAGACTAAGAAGAAGTACAGAACATGTTATATATATATATACAGAGGAGGGTGAGATCAAATCCACAGTGGTCCTACTAATCTTCACAAAAGCACCGCAGCGGTAGGTAGTCAGGTCAGAGGGTAAGCTGCCCCAACCTTCTCACCTGGTTACAAATCCAATTTGTACATACCATTGCTTAAATTCGTGTTTTCTTTTTTCCTTGTGGTTATCAGCATATATATATATATATATATATATATATATATATATATATATATATATATATATATATATATATATATATATATATATATATATATATATATACCGTATATACAGTAATCAACGACCTCACCAGCAAGGAATCAAACCCGGTAAGCCGGTAAGCGTTCCCTAGTCCCACCCAGAAGGTCGAGGGTTCGATTCCTTGCTGGTGAGGTCGTTGATTATATGTTCAAAGTCCGCGTGTTAAATGGACTAAAAATGAAGTATATATATGTACCTCGCGTTTCATACCAGCTGGATTCGGTAAAATGCTACTGACACCACATACGAGGCACGGGCAGTTTCCCAATGAGGTTCACGGCGCCATCAGCTCGATGAACAGGCTTTGTGTGAAATATAACAGAGTCTAGAACTGCTTTTAGTGTCCTTGTGGGCTAGCCGGTAAGCGTTCCCTAGTCCCACCCAGAAGGTCGAGGGTTCGATTCCTTGCTGGTGAGGTCGTTGATTATATGTTCAAAGTCCGCGTGTTAAATGGACTAAAAATGAAGTATATATATATATATATATATATATATATATATACAGTAATCAACGACCTCACCAGCAAGGGATCAAACCCGGTAAGCCGGTAAGCGTTCCCTAGTCCCACCCAGAAGGTCGAGGGTTCGATTCCTTGCTGGTGAGGTCGTTGATTATATGTGTGTGTGTATTCCAGAATAATGCGAGTAATGGAGGCTGGGTTGTTTGATCAGTGGCTGAAGGAGATCATCCCTAACTCCACATCTTGTCTCCACCCACCGACCAAGATCACAGTCAACACCTCACTCTTCATCACCAACATTTGGGTACGACTGTCATTATACTACTAAAAATATCTCAGAAATAATTTTTTAACTAGCGATAAATTTATCCAATATTTATTACATGCGTCGGCAGTTTTCAAAAGACCTTCTTTCCAAGGTTAACAACGAATCATTTTGGTATAACAAATATAATTGCTCTACACATTTTATCGCAAAGTACATGATAGGATGGTGCTTTATGATCTGCTCAAGTAATAAAAGTGTTACTGTATATTGCAGGGTATGTTTGTGGCCCTGGTTACCGGCCAGGCTCTTGGGCTGCTGGTGTTTGGACTCGAGGTCTTCTCTTCCCATTTTCTCCACTAACGATGCTCCCAACAATATGTTCGCCGGGATGTTTGTCCTTTGTCTCACTAAACAATACATCTAGGATGAGAATATACTAGAGAACCTTAAAGTTCAGTTTCGTAAATTTGCATACTGTAAACTCTTAAGATGCCTTTTCTAATTAAAAGAAAAGACAGCATTTTGTTAGATTTCATCTTTGAATGTTAGCTAAATTACTTTAGCAGAAAACAAATTTACAGTTTTGGGAATCTACAAAAGTTGGATACCTTCAGCTAAGAACGGACCAATACAGTGATTTTAGTATCTAATTGCTTTATGAAAAAAAATACTTTGCCCCATAGAGTCAACGAGATATCTCAGCATCTACTTTCCAAATTCTCACAAGGAAAACCTCTTATATACACACAATCACCGCCTTATGTCTAAAAGACAAAATTCATTATTTTTTCTTCATTACTAGTACTTGCTCCTAACTTACGAACACATAGCAGGAACGGACCCAGGAAGGTTTCTGCCTCACCCAAGAAACTTTCATTCCTAAAGCACAGGTGTAGTTTTTTCCACTCAGAAAAGTTATAATATTATATATCAATTACTACTTTCTCCTAAACAATGGAGTTCTAGTGGTGATGGACCCCCTTTTGTTTTACACTTATAAACATGTCCAGATTCTTCCCCACTTTACCAAATTACCTTCTTTATAAACTCTTGTACGTACTGTAACGTAATAAAAATATCCATAGCGTCTGTATATATCATGCTTAACTTCTGCAAATCTTCTGAAGTTTACTATACGTAATTAATTCCATTTAATATCGGTATTATCTTTTTTATATAACATATTTCTAAACAGATACAAAATGGGTACCTGTGCTGCAATAGATGGGTTAAGTTAAGCTTGTTTTACTAAATTGAGACTATGACAAATAGTTTCGTACCCTATTGTAAGCTCGTGTGTGTCCTGTTATCTGTGTTAGCAATAGATAAATTTTTCATAATTTTTTTAGAAAAATAATTGGACTAAGCAGTACCGGTGGCAAAATTCCTTTATAAAAGTAGAATAAGTGAAAACTCCTGAGACGATTGAGGCGCTTGAAGAACAATGTATAGTCTCTGATGAATGAATGACAGAAGGTGACTGACGTGTTAAAACATAAGAACATAAGAACATAAGAAAATAAGGAGTCTGCAATAGGCCAGTTGGCCTGTGCATGGCAGCTCCTGTCGAGAGTTACTACCACTCTCTATCGTCTATGAATCTATCTAGCCTCTTTTAAAGATTTTCCAGCGTCCCAGCACTTACTACAAAGTTGCTAAGCATGTTCCACTCGTCTACCATTCAAATTCTGAACCAGTTTCTTCCTTTCATCCTCCTGAAAATAAATTTATCCAACTTAAATCCGTTGCTCCGAGTCCTATCCTGCTCGGATATTATAAGAACTTTATCTATATCTCCTTTATTGATTCCTTTCACCCACTTAAATACTTCTATCATATCTCCCCATACTCTTCGTCTTTCTAGGGAATGCAAGTTTAGTTTCTTTAATCTATCTTGATATGGAAGGTTTCTAAGTCCCGTAATCATTTTCGTCATTCTTCGCGTCACCGAGTCCAGTGAATTGATATCCACCCTATAATAAGGGCACCAGAACTGAACAGCATTATCGAGGTGCGGCCTGACTAGCGCAAGATATAGTTGCAATAAGACCTCTGTACTCTTATTACTTACACTTCTAGATATAAAACCTAATACTCTGTTTGCCTTATTTCGAACATTAAGGCACTGTTTTCTAGGCCGTAGGTCCGGGTTTACAAGTACCCCTAACTCTCTTTCACAAGTCGACTTCTCTAGGTTGATATTGTTAAGGCTGTATACATTGAAGGTATTTGTTCTTCCAATATTAAGTACGCTGCACTTGCTGGTGTTGAATTTCATTTGCCATTTTTCTGACCACTCCTGCAGTTTATTTAAATCCTCATGTAGTTCATTTGCATCCTGCCCTGAATTAATCTGCCACCCTATTTTGGTGTCATCCGCAAACTTGCTTATGTCACTGCTGATCCCAGTAACTAGATCGTTTATGCAGATTATGAACAAGAGTGGGCCTCGTACTGACCCCTGGGGAACCCCACTGGTTACACAGCCCCACTCAGATTTAACACCATCTACGATGACCCTCTGCGTTCTATCGGTGAGCCATGATTTTATCCAATTTAAAACTTTCCCCTCGATACCATGAGCCTTAACTTTTCTCAGAAGAGTCTGATGCGGTACTCTGTCACATGCTTTGCTAAAGTCTAAGTAAATAACATCGTAATTTTCGTCGTTATCTACTACCTCGAAGACAAGATTTTACCTTTGTAAACCCATGTTGAGAGTCGTATATTAATTTGCTTTTCTCTAAATGCGATCAGATGCTATTTGCTATAATTGATTCAAGAAATTTCCCCACTACTGAAGTCAAACTGATCGGCCGGTAATTTGACGCTGATGCTCTGTCTCCCTTTTTGAATATGGGTACTACATTTGCCTGTTTCCACAAGTCTGACACATCTCCCGTGTCTAATGATTTTGTAAACAAATTTACGAGGGGTCTGCTAATCTGTTCCCTACACTCTTTCAAGACTCGAGGGAAAATTTCATCCGGCCCTGGGGATTTTGTCTTCTTTAATTTATTTATCCTCTTAAGAACACCCTCTTTTCTGATAGTGATATTCTTTAATTTCCCCTCTTCATTTCCCCTAATGCTGTCCCAGTCAATATTTCTGAAGTTGAAATCCCCCATAATGCACACGTTGTCGTATCTTGCTACACTACTCATTTCCTGCCATATGGGCTATGCTGCTTCTTTCCCAAGACTTGGGGGGCAGTAAATCACTCCCATAATTAGTTTTTCTCTTCCTTCCGCAATTTCTACCCATACAGATTCGGTTCCTATTTCACCCTTTATTGAATTATTAATACAACATTTCAATGGATCCATGACGAAGAGTGCGACCCCTCCCCCTTCCTACCTTCCCTGTCCTTGTGGTACTCTGATAAATAGTTCTTGCTCGCCAGATTCATCCAAGTTTCAGTGATTGCTACGACGTCTACATTCCCGGTACATAGAACCGCTCTCAACAAGTCTATTTTATTTCTAGCGTGCCTACTGTTTGTATAGTATACCTTTAAAGCTACCCTTCCCTGGTCCTGTTTTACCCCTTATCCTGAGTAACCAATTTTACTCCCCAATACCTGCTTGATTTTTTACTCCACACTACTGACTCTCTCTACTGGCGAAACCCCAACCCCCCCGCCCCTCCCTTTGGAATGATAATTTCACTCTCCAGGGATGCAGACAACGTCTTTACCCTCGCACGAGACAAATGTACCCGTCACGACTGTTCAGGTAGTCGATGACATAGAATGATCGCAAGTTATAAATGAATGCCCACCATTGCTTGCACAATGTTTTTCCAGTCGGCAATTTATATCAATTGCCCTGGACAGCCATTCACCTCCAACTCCTTTTCCAGGCAAGACACCACATACTATAGGGATCCCTCCCCTATCTCTAACCTTCCCGAGCGCCTCCCTAAACCTCCTGAAAAGTTCCTCACTCCTACCCTTTCCTATGTCGTTACCTCCTACACTATGACACACTACTGGATTGGTACCCTCCCCTGACAAAACCCTAGCTATCCTCTCAGCTACATGCCCTATCCTAGTCCAAGGAAAACACACCCTAGTCCTACGTTTCCTATCTCCTTTACAATAAGTCCTATCTAAGAACCTCACCTGGATGCCCTCAACTACCACTGGGCAGGGTTTGAACAACTGTCCTTTCCTCTCCTGGCACCACACCGTCCTGCCTCTTCTCTTCCTCGCCAGCTTCCACCAACACTTGGTAGGGGTAACTGCACTCCACACCATGGTCAGCTTTCCTGAGTCTGACCCTAGTCCCCTTGGAGACAACCACTCTCCACCCCTGCTCCTTCCTGACCCTCCTTTGCAGGTGTCCTGCTAGGCAGGATACCTACCTGAAGGATTTCAGTCCTGAGGGCTTCGTTCTCCCCCTTTAAAGCGTCTATCTCTCTCCTCAACTGCTCCAGCTGACCTAACAGAGTGACCAGGGGGTCGTCTCTCCCCACATACCGTCCCTCTTCCCCCATAACACAACGGTCCACGGCGGCCATTTTCTATGGTCTCTAACACGAGCACACAGGGGCACGTCCTTCTCCAAGCTAGGTCAGGTTGGTACTAGAGGTCAGTGAAGGGTGTGGTAAGGGTGTGTTAAAACGGAAATCTAAGTCACTGAAGTAGAAAATAATAATAATAATAATAATAATAATAATAATAATAATAATAATAATAATAATAATAATAATAATAATAATAATAATAATAATAATAATAATAATAATAATAATAATAATAATAATAACAATAATAATAATAATAATAATAATAATAATAATAATAATAATAATAATAATAATAATTATAATAATAATAATAATAATAATAATAACAATAATAATAATAATAATAAGTTTGTTCAATTGTCATAATAAACGAAGCTGTATCATCTTCACGGTGTTATTCATTTGGTAAACACAGATTGGTCACCACAGTAGCAGGCGACGTCCCACACCCACGGGTCGGATGCTTTTCCACAGTTTTGAGGGAAGCTAGAATAAGGTAGGAGGTGGATGGTCGTGCGTTATCTCCACCCGGCCGAATCCGGGCAACTGAACTTGGATATTATAAGTAATCAAAATGTACAAATAACTTAGTAATACAATAATCTTTCATTATATTTAATCTACGTTAAATAGTTTAATTGATCAATAACATGTACAGGACAAAAAAAGGGTGAATGATCAGTGTACTGGGAATGAAAGATGTTTTACTAAGTGGCCACAACGAGGGAAACCCCACAGAAATTCAGGTTAAGAATTTCACCTGCATTGATACTCAAATAGAGAGTGCATCTAGTAATCGAGGGAACTCATAGTTTTTTTTATAAAATGTATTAATATATTAGGGAATCACTCATTATTTTCCACATTAAATGCATTTTAGTGTATATCTCATTATAATTAATTGTTAGTCTCCAGCAGTCTTATACCGAGGAGCAAACAACGAACACTACCTTTTCATGTCTCGTCCAAAAGGTGAGAGATATTGTAATCCTAATATATACCGACTCTTATGTTGTAACGATATGAGGCTTTACCTTTATTCCTTATCAAGCATATCAACTGGGAGCGAAATTCACTTTTGATTTCTCTCCTTTCCTGTTTTTCCTCTCAACATCGGTATCTATACAATCTTATATGTAACGACTTACTTCGCTAAACCTGCTGTCAGGCTGTTGCTTCAGTCTGACTTGAGCACCTTAATTAAGCGTATTTGCAGTATATCTTTACCTGTTTGATGGTCTCTCACGCTACAGACTCTGCTGCCTTGTAATACACACATGAAGGCTAAGTCAGTCGTAATGTTTTTTGGAACTTCGATAAATTATAGAATTTTTCAACAGTTACGCTGAGACATTTCAGCAATGCCACAGCTAAAGGTGAGATATCAAATGTTAGTAATTGTAGGGGTCCTGGGTACTAAGTTCTAACTACAGGAGCGAACACAAACACCTGTAGAGTTTTGTAGGTTCTATTTAACGGAAGTATACAGGAGTGCACTTACAATCCCAGGTAGTCCCTACACTCTTTATAGGTCAACTGACCTCTCCTTGACCTCTCAG